TCTCGGTAGAGGTAACACCGACAATTTATAATAGTGGAATCTTGTACTTGTTATTCTTATGTGTTGATTCAATGATGAGTGCATTGGAAAACATGTTGAACAACTTCACGGAATCAGGATGATTCCAAAATATATCTCAAACATTTACTCTATCCTCGCATAAATTCAGTCGTGTGGCAGCGGTAACATGGGTGTACGATAACTGGGTGGCGCGCGTACATCGGTTCTCAGGAGTCGTGATAGATGCACGGTGGGGTGCTCGGTGGTTCGCATATGTCGACTCTCAGGGGTCGTGATGGTTACATGGCAAAAGCAAATTCCACGATCTTGTTCGGCGAGTTTTGAGTTATTTTTTATTTTGTGTCTAGAATACGGTCGGAGAATTGACTTTACTGGTTTTACGTTTTAATCGCAAATGTTGCGGTTAGCAAGAGTCAGCATCGACTTTTCTTTTATCCAGCAAAGGAAAGGGTGAAAAGAACAGGAACAACCTTTTTGAGATTTTTCTGAGTAAGGGGGTAGGTTATGGAAAGGGAAGGTGTTAGCACCCTTTCCATCCGTAGTTATCTACAGGCTCTTAGTTGCTAGTTCACTTTTGAAAATGCTTTTTGTGTAAGTGTATTTTTAAAATACTTTTGAAAAGATGCCTTAGTGCAACGAATTTTGTAATGTTTCTCATTTCGTTTGAGAATGTATAAAAAGTATTTGTCTTTGAAAATATTTAGAAAAGAGTTGATGTATATGTGAAAAATTGTTTTGTTTAATTTTATGAGCAAGCAACTATAAGCGGTTTACCTACTCGAATGGTATTTGTTCTTTTCCTCTTTTCCTTTAGACAATGCTATCTTACTATTAGTTAGTAGGTAGCCCTATCGTTGGATGTTTAAGGGACAAGCGCAGGTCATCATACAATCACGAAGGTAACTCGTAGGGCACTTTAGCAATTTTATCGTAAGGGACTAGATCGTTTACCGAAGGCAACATCGAAGGGTCATCGAGGGACTATAATATTTTTGTATTGGAGGGACTTTACTAAAGCGTCCCCATGTTCGAGGGACGTGATTGTTTTTTTGAAGGCAACAAGTGGAGGTACCTTAGAGGTGCGTGTGTGTAAAGTGTGTTGTGTTTCAGTTACGTTTATCTTGGATATTAGGTTTTCTAGTGTTTGCTTTTAGTCTTTCCATACAAACCTATTAGCATACATCTAGCAGTTAATTGTATATAAGTACGGAAAATAAAGTGTGGAAAATAACTAGGCTATTACAATGTTTCGGGATGGGGGAATTACAAACCAAAAAATAGGGGAAAGAAAAATATAAAGGGTCCTAAATTAAGCTATTACAATCTTTGGACAATTACATAATTTATGAAATAATACGAATAAAAATAAATGAACGCGCGGAGGAGAAAGAAAGAAAGATGTAAAGAACCCTAAAAATCTAAGTGGAAGAAAATGTTTTTGTTGTTTTTCATTTTTGTTTAGAAAAATAATTAAATCATGAGAACCTAATTTTAATCAGTTAATTAATTAAAAAAAGGTGATTAAATGATTGACTAATTTAATTAATAAAAACTTAAATCTACTATTTTTTGTGATTTTCTGATTTTTCTGATTTTTTATGTTCGTAAAAAAGAAAAAAAAAGATTTAAAGAAAATTAAATTAATAAAACAATAAAAAAAGAAAAAGAAAATGGGTCACACACTGCAAAAAGTAGTTAAAGGGTGTGAAATAGCAAAAAATTCCTAGGCCCATTAACAATAGGGCCCGGGCGCCTAGAGATCCAGTGATGGATGCTTCTTGGGGTTCATCATGGGGATGCGCCTTTGAGGCTTTGGATCTAGCCTGATGAAATCTGGTGGTCAGGAACTGGAGGTGCATGATGCGCATATTTGGTCCCACTCATACCTGATCTATAGATTCATATAAACTCAAACAAATGTTAGCATGCCATGAAATGTGATTAAAATCAAAGATTCGAAATTTTAAACTTTACCAAATCGGTGTTATCAAATGGGGGCGTTCTAGGCTTGTGATGGACTGATCTTGGGCCTTGGAAAAACTCCTAGGGACTTCAGGAGGATGGCTTGAGGCTTGGTTTCAATCGATAAAGGCTGGAACTTTGAGATATGACTTGCACCAATTCTTTGATTTTTTTGGAGTTTTTGGAGAGCTTTTGCATGTAGAAATTTCATGCTCTCTTGATCTACTTTGGTTTGCCTTTATATAGAGAGAGTGAGTGTCTTACTAACATGGCAAGGAATCAAGCTTTGATGGCCTTAACAAAACAAGATAAAACACATTCAAAACTTGCCAAAAATGAGATATCTCTTGCCATTTTAGAATTTGCATGAACCTAGACAGCTTGTATGTATCTTGCGCGAATTAATGGGCTCCAAAGTGGATCAAATCCATCCCATATGCATAGCCCATGATTTTCTTGTGATTTTATTCAATTTATTTGATTTTAAATTAAATAAAATCAAGATAAATATGAATAAAAAATCAAAGCCACGTATAAATGGATTTAGAGGTCCTATAAGATGTTATGGACATATTTGAAGTCCAAAAAGTAAGCTCATCGGTTCAAAATTGCAATTTTGCTCAATTTACACTTCATGAATCTCCTCAAAATTCCCCAACTTGTGCAGCTCATAACTTGCTCAATTTTCAACTTTTGATGATGATCTTAGACTTTTTGGAAATCTCAAGATGTCCTATACAGTCTCTATGTTGATAATTTTGGCTTTTGAAGACATTATCTTGATGTAAGTTGCCTTGACAAAAAGTGTTTTTTTGTTAACTTTTGAAAATGACCTATAATGTATGAGCTCATATTTTCCAAATGAAGCATTTTTTAGACTTGAGAATAAAAGAAAAATTGTAGAGAATTAAATTTTATTCATAATGGGCTTTGGTTGGGGAAAAGTTAATCAAGCATGTGAAAGTTATGCTCAGTCAAAGTTCAGTTGACTTCTCCTAAAGAAACCCTAATTTGGCAATTCTCGACTTTTGATGATTTGGGGACTTTCCTTGGGAAATCATGATCAACCCTTGATCACATGATGAATATCACTTCAAAATGTTGATGTTGACCAAAAAATCTTGAAGTTTGACTGTATGTTGACCATAGTTGACTTTTTGACCAATACAATTGATTTTCAAACATTTGAGCCCCACAATGAACCTCATCTGCAGGTGGCACACATGACTGCACTAGTAGGATTTGCATATATTATTTGTCATGTATCCACTCTAGTCATATGTGTTCCTAAGTGTTTCTCTCTAGCCTGGGTACTGGGCCTTTTACATTATAGTAACATCCCACCCACCAAAGTAAACACAAAAAATCTAATATTCAACTCAACAACAATAACAACCATATGAAGGAATAAAATGAAATGCATTCAATAGCAAGTAAAGCACATAGATAAACACCCGAAGAAAAATAACAGACAAAGTTAGGATTGGTCAACTTAGGAAAGAATCCCCAGTGAAGTTTCTAATTTTTTTGTAGCGATAAAAAATTGAGACTAAGCCATTGATTAACTTATCTTACAAAGTGAAAGTCGCCACTGCACTTTATTGTTTTCAAAAGAAAATGGGAAAAGAGTGAATACAATCCACAAAAGAATAGAGATCAAGGTATGGGGACTGGTTATGCAAACAGAAGGTATTAACACCCTAAAAATCCTTTGTACTCAACGAGATCCACTATGTTTGTTCTAATCAAAGGGTGTGTTATCTAAAGCTTAAACTTGGCAAAGCAAGATCTTCATTATTAGCCCATGTATCAGATGAATCACTTAAGATCAAAATAAAAACACCTATACACATAAAATTTCCCAATGCGCAGACAGAATAACAACATGGCAATACAAGATCCAAAGGTTCCAAGATCTCAAAGTAACAAGGCTCTAAAACTCCAATATGCCAAAGATAGTAACTGATAGTCCAAAAAGAGCCATAAGTCTTTTATTCAAGTTGATTATTAATGAGTTAAGCACAAAATAAAAGTCCAAGTGAACAAAGGAAAAAATGCATAAACATAAACAAGTTGCATGGAATGTAAATGCTAAAAGTAAATGACATAAATAGAAGTGGTAAGTAAAGTGCGGAAATTAAAGTTGCATAAAGTAAAGTTTAATACAATAAATGTTAGAGTTAGTTTTTGATTCTGGACAAATGTAGCGCTATGTTAAGCAATCGCAAACGGACTTATGTAGAAGTCAATAATATACGAGGCTGGTAAATAACAATCTATGTACCATACATGTTAGCGATAGAAATCATACTCCTCAAACATGTAGCACAATTAAAAACAAAGGTGATCAAGACCTAGGTCATAGCAGATACATCATGACAAACTTTCACCAATGCCAAGTACCTTGAATATCAAAAGATCATCTAGAGGTAAGTTGAAAATGTTAAAAGTTTATCAACTATCCATAAGCTTAAATGAACTTTAAGTTCAAAGGCCTTATCCAAATTGATCAAAAGAAAAAGAAAGAGATGAAAAAAGAGATAGAAATCAACAACCAAAGTTAGAAATGGAATTAAAATTGATGTTTAATGGATTAAATGGATGAAATACAAAAAGGTATATAAACATTAATAAAAAATTCAATAAAATCAATGCAAGTCTGAAACAGGTTAAGAAGTATTCACAATTTTCTTCAGAATTTTTTAATGCATACAAATATTTTTTAATTAATTAAAATCATTCAAATAAGTAAAAAAATAATTACAAATATCAAATAGTAAAATTAAATTTCAGAAAAATTACACTAAGTCAGAAATGAGGTAAATAAATTTTGTGATTTTTTTCCAGAAATTTTGGACGAAAAATTAATTTATTATGAATTTTTGAAGTTAAAACGAATTAAAATTAAAGTAGCAAAAATAAATTAAAACAGAAAAACGTGTAGCCCTCGGGTCAAGTCAATCATGCATATTTATGTAGGATCAATGATCTAGAATGAGACTGCACTGTAAAAAAACATGGGCACACGCGCGGAGAATCAAAAATACTCATCATCTTCGACGAGGTCAAGTGACGGAGGGACCACTTATCCTTCCTGTACCGACCGTCAGTGATCTCGAGTAAAATGAGAGGGAAAGCATTTTTGAATGAAAACAAAATTTATGGTCAGAATTTATTTCCAAGAGCAATTTCCTCATTTTTCTAAGAAAACTTTCTCTCTCTCTCTCTTTTGGAGGATCAAACATTTATCTCTCTTTCTTTTTTTAAACAAGAATACAAAACACAAAATACCACAAAGAAGAATCACTTGCGATGGAGAGGAAGAACTAAAAGGGCGGAGAAGATGAACGACACGGCGGCGGTCAGCCATCCTCACAACGGCTCTGCCATAAAATTTTCAGAAACCAAAACTTGTTTACATAGAAATGATCAGTTTCTTCTTCTCTATCCAAATTTCAAAACAATTTTTGAAGAAAATTAGCGAAAATCTGTAGATCTTGAAAAAAGGATTTCGGAAAACCTAAACTTAAAAACAACAACAAACAACACTGAATCAAGAAAATAAGGGTGTATATGGTCTTAAAGGAGGAAGGCAACCTTCAGAAGTTCAGAAGAGGTATCGAAAATGTGAAGGACGGTGGTGGAAGAGCGACGGTCAGGCAAGGGTTTTGACGAGGTTTGGTGTTTCTGAAGATCAAAGGAAGTTTTCGGCGAGGTATGTAAGTTTTTTCGTTTTCTTATTTCTATTGCGAAAGTGGTCTGAAAATACCCCTTGAGCAACTCTTAATCAATCCTTTTATACACCATTACAAACCTTAGGGTTTTGTGAACTGAGATAGGGTTCAGATGCTATGAAATGAGAATCACACTTTTGCTATATAGCCCAATCCAAATCCTTGTGTTTATGTCCAGAAATGCTCTTTTTGCATCATTTTTTGTTGTTAATTTCTTGTTAAGTTTGGGCCTGTTAATTTGCTATCATTGGAATTAGTTGTGGACTGGGTTGAATGAGGAATAGGGATGTAAATGAAATATAAACATGGCCCCTTTGTAATTACTTAGAATGATGTTGAGTTCGTGACTTTTTTTTGTTGCAAATTTTCTACTTCTTGTACATAACTTGGAATCCTTAGAATACCTTGTGCTCAATTGTCTTTCTTGAACCTTGATGGTTGTAGGTTTCGATTATATGCTAAGGTGCTTCTCAACTTGTCATAATACTTGCAAAAACCTTGCATTTTGAATCCTTTGAAGTATATTTATCTCTTCCATATTGGACATATATTTCTTTAAGGAAAATGATGTTCATTTGGCTTTTTACTTGTCAGTTTCGTATCTTTGGATAGAATTAAGATATTGTGAACTTAATGCAACTTGTAAAGGATGCTTTGGTTCCATGAACGATCCAATACTCTACATGTTTGTATTTCACTTGGTTCTTCTTTCATACTTGGTGAATTGAGCATTGTTGATTGTATTTAGGACAAGAACAAACATGGTGAAGAATAGAAACAAATGGGGAAGCCTTAGGCTAGTTTGAAATACACTAGGTTTAGAAACTTTTTCTTTGCTATACTTCAAACAATTTTGTAAAACTTTGATTTCTTTATGTAACCTTTCATGTAATTTATGAGAAACCTTGTAACATCTTTAAAGTTTAAGTAAAAAAGACTTAAATCTTGAATGTATCTAGGGATTGAACAAGAGAATTTGAAAGATGTAACTTGGTAATTAGGCCAAAGAGGTCTTGAATTCTCTTGATGAATGCTTTTCAAAATTTAAATTTGGAATAAGACTTTGACTTGAAATTTGAACCTTGAAATGGGCTTGAATGAATTACGAATGAACGTTAACTTGTAATTCCAAACTAATAAAGGTAAGTAATTCCCTCTATCTTTTGAATTCCAAATTGGAGCTTTGAATTAATTTGAATCCATGAACTCTCAAACTAAAAATCACATACCATAGCTCACTACTTTCCAGTTCAATTCTTGACGAATGAAACTTCACATGAAAAAATCTATTGCCTTAAAAAACTTATATGGCGTAAACTAAAATTAGAGGTAAAAAATGACCTATAATATTACAATAGAATCCACAATTTTCTAAGCACAATTTGACTTAAAAACTTAAAGCAAATTTATAGATGACATCTGGAAGAGTATCGTGCAAAAGGAATCAATCTGACATGATGAAAATTGAAAGAGTTATGATCTTTGAAAGTTGGATGAAAGTCACTTGCAATTTGATCAAAGTCACAAAGCGACCTCTAATGTACTCAAACTTTTGATGGCCTTCTATACATAATTAGCTCTCGACTTGTAAAGAGATATCGAGGATGATGTTAAAAGGAATCATGTGTTCGGAGAATCACTCAAAAATATTAAATATTGAAAAAGTTATGATCAGTTGAACTTAAACTTGCAAATGTTGACTTTTAGTTAACCAACTTTGAATCAAATTTACAAACTAGATCTTTTCTTGCATTCAAAAGAACCTTGATGCACATACGAACTTGAGATGATGAAATATTGATTAAACCATGCTCACACTTGTCAGAACCCGAAATTACTCATTGAAGAAGGCATGACAATAAACACATGAACCTATCTTGAAGAGTCTTGAAAATTAAGCAACCAAATTCATATTAACCATACTGAATGAAGCTTGAGAATAGTGTGACCTAAGATTGTAGATAACAACTTTGAAAAATATGTATTTGAGAACCAGTCTTTAGCATGAGCAAACCACAACCCTAATTAGGGAACCATCACCTGAGTTTCTTGATCAGAAGTCATATCTTGTGAATGCAATCCTGAAGAGTATCGTGCAAAGTGAATCAACCCGAAATGATAAAAATCGAAAGAGTTATGATCCTTGAAAGTTGGACGAAAGCCACTTGCAATTTGGTCAAATTCACAGAGGAACCTCTAATGTACTCAAATTTTTGATGGCATTCTATACATGATTAGCTCTCGACTTGTAAAGAGATATTGAGGATGATGTTAAAAGGAATCATGTGTTCAGAGAATCGCTCAAAAATATTAAATATTGAAAAAATTATGATCATTTGAACTTGAACTTGCAAATGTTGACTTTTAGTCAACCAACTTTGAATCAAATTTGCAAACTAGATCTTTTCTTGCATTCCAAAGAACCTTGATGCATATACGAACTTGAGATGATGAAATATTGATTAAACCATGTCACAATTGTCTGAACCTGAAATTACTCGTTGAAGAAGGCATGACAATAAACACATGAACCTATCTTGAAGGGTCTTGGGAATTAAGCAACCAAACTCACATTAACCATACTGAATGAAGCTTGAAAATAGTGTGACCTAAGATTGTAGATCACAACTTTGAAAAATAGGTATTTGAGAACCAGTATTTAGCCTGAGCAAACCACAACCCTAATTAGGGAACCATCACCTGGATTTCTTGATCGGAAGTCATATCTTGTGAATGCAACAAAACAAACGAGACATATTTTTGAATTTTGGTGAGAGGTCAGTAATATATATATATATATATATATATATATATATATATATATATATATATATATATATATATATATATATATATATATATATATATATATATATATATATATATATATATATATATATATATATATATATATATATATATATATATATATATATATATATATATATATATATATATATATATATATATATATATATATATATATATATATATATATATATATATATATATATATATATATATATATATATATATATATATATATATATATATATATATATATATATATATATATATATATATATATATATAGGATGCTTGATGATCCCTCAAGGACAAACTTAAAGATAGGAGAGAGTAGAATTGATAGTCAATCCCAAAGATGTGATCTTGATGTATTGTGATGATATAAAATAATGGAGGATCTTAGGAGCAAAAATTAGGGTATAACAACTTCCCTTATTTAAATGTGTTATATCCGGAGATACGGAGGTTAAAATCTTTGTCTCGGCGCGATTGAAGATACTTAAATACAAAAATAAACCCTGTTTTTGGCCCTAAGATACCATGCAATGCTTATGATTCTGAATGTAAAAGACGAACTCCACAGGGGAGACAAGACACTATTAGGAATAACAAAAATAATATAGACAAAGATACGACACAAGATAAATTAAGAGAGTTCAACTAGGAAAATAAATCACTGGGGAGTGACACGACTCTGGGGATAACTATGAATAGACAAAACCAAAATCATAGTTAAAGAATCAAAATGCAAAGTAAGAATTTTAATAGGGAAATTCTTACAATACCAACAACAAGCCAAAAAAGAAGTAATCTTTAAGAAAGGATTACCAACTCGTTTGAGAAAAGGAAATTAACTCCGTTAGAGAAGACTTAACTCCACTGGAAAAAAGGAGACTCAAATCTAATGGGGTAAAGCCCAAAAAGAAGACAAGATAACATCATCTCAATAAAGAAAAATAATACCGACTCATAGATGACAGTGAGAAAACCGATGATATCGACCTATAGACAATGAACTACCAAATCATATATGAAGATAGAAAATTAGTAAAAATTTAAGAATAAATTCTTATAATTGATACATTTTTTATTTGGCCTCTTTAACATATGTAGTGAAAGGGCATACACGACTCTTTGATTTACTTAAGAGACATTAAATTATTACTTAAATTTTCAAAATGGTTTTTTACCACTCTATAAGATCTTGAAAACTATTTAAATGATAGGTGGAGAAGATGAGATTTATAAATTATTAAGTAATAATCAATTGTTACGTGAAAGTGGGATATATGAAAAAATTTGTCAAAATTGTTTCTGTTATGATTATCTTTCTTTTCTTATTTTTTGTGGCAACCAACATTGAAGGTAAGTCATTTCTATCTTTTGTCAAATATTTTCTTTCCTTTATACACAATATTTTAACCAATTTAAATTAAATTATTTTGTTATATTGTCATACAGCAGGGGTAATTACATGTTCAAAAGATTCACATTGTCCCAAAAGTATGTGTCGATATCCTAAGAGAGTAATATGCTGGAATGATTCCTACTGCAAATGTTATGGGCGAAACATGTTTTAGTCTTGATGATTATATATTCAGTATTATTTACAAATCCTGATGATTAATATTCAATTGATGGTGGCTCTCATGGTATGAGATCTGACCTGAATTTCTTTTTTGGGTGAGATTTAGAAATGTGTGAATTTTTCTCTATTGTTATAATATTATTATATTATTTGGAAGTGTTTTTCTTTGAATTTTTTGTTTCGTTGTTTGAGGTGAGATTTTCCTTCCTTCTTTATTATTATATCACTCTTATAGTATTGTACTTCTTGTATTATACGATTAAATAAATGAATCTTGTTTTATTGATTATTTTTCAATTTCCTACAATCTATATATTTATTTTGCCATTAAAAAGAGCACCATACCGATAGATAGTACCAAATAATTTGATTTGTTACTTAGTTTTAAAAAGCACTGCTTTTATGGCATTGTAGTTTAAAGCAATCTATTAAAAATCCGATCGAACGGGTCGGTTTAATCAGTTGGACTGAAAATTGGAGATGAATCTGTTTAGTTTGATTTTTTAAAATTGCTAGTGGATTAAAATTGAAATGAAATCAGAAAAATTGAATTAAGCCGTTTAAAATCAATTGAATCAAAAAATCAAAATCGATTTTATAAAATTATCCGGTTTAAAATAATGTATTGAATTGACCATTCTTTTACATTTTTTAAAACTTAAAATATTTATTTAATTTAAATATTTTTAATTATTTGAACGTTATTATGTTTTATTATTTTAATTTTGATTTGAATTAGTTCAATTTGTTCAAATTATTCTTAAATAAAAGTTGAAATAAAGTATATAACTAAGTTGTGTTATTATATATTGTATTAAGTTTGTAATGGACTCTTAAAATATTTATTTTATTAAATTATAAATATATGATTATGTGTGATATATGTATAAAATTTAGTTCATATTATTAATTTATTTAATAAACGTTTGAATTAATTGAACCTTAAATCAGAAATTTATTAAATTATAAATATATGATTACGTATGATATATGTATAAAATTTAGTTTCATATTATTAATTTATTTAACAAACGGTTGAATTAATTTAACCTTAAATCGGAAATTTCACATATTCGATTTCCAATTCG